GACCCGCCCCGGGAAAGTTTCCCCGGCCGCCGGCGGAGTTGCGCGCGGTCCGGCCGCCGCGGCGGAAAGGTAGGGGGCTCCACGCCTTCTTCACTCGGCGCGCCCCGCCGCTGCGCCCGGGGACCTGGAGACTCCACGCGCGCTCCCCCCGGGCGACTGTTGGGCACGGTGGGCGGGGTAGGGGTGCAGCTGGGGGGATCCCAGAGCGGCCCCCGGGAAGCCCTGGGACCAAGTTTTACTTAAACCAGCATGAGGAGGGGCAGGGAGACGTGCTCGCCTCGAATCCCCGCTCCGGAGCCGCGAGGGCTGGGGCTTCCCCGCGGACAGGTGCAGCGCCACTCGGCTCTGGGAGCTCGGGGTGGGTGAGTGGGGGCGCCCGGAGAATGGCGGAGGGCGGCAGGTGTGGGTATAAGTTGGGCTCTCGGCGAGGGCTGCACCCCGAGGGAGGGCGTGCGCGCCACCCCACTCTGTAGGAGGGCAGGATAGGGTCTAGGGATTAGAAGCGAAGATCCGGGCTGGAAGGATTACTGGACCCAGCAGGGGCACTGAAAGCTGGCGATTTCGGGGTCCCTGGCAGCGGGGCGGGGCGGGGGCGCCACCCTTTCCTTCGGGGACCCCTTGTTTCCCTACACGGTGTGTACAGTTTGGGGAGGCAGAGATTCTCTGTGGTTCTCGGTGGATCCGAAGTTCGGGTATGTCCGGATTTAGGGGGTGCAGTGGGAGTCCGCTTGAAGGGCTGGAGGGGTCGGTGGGTTCACGCCGGTTTTGGGACCCGGTTGGGTTGAGGTGAGTTGGCTCCCGCCAGGGGGCGCCCTTCCCTGGCCCTTTCGCTCATAGGAGGGAGAGTGCAGGTTCCTTCCAGACAACTGTACCGAAATCCCGGACAGACAACCACAGACCCTCCAACACATGAGGGGCTCAGCCGGGAGGAGCACCCACCGCGGGCCTGGGCCTGGGGGAGAGGGTCCAGTATGAGGCCAGGGTGCCTGAGTTGTAACTGCACCGTGTGCTGGAAAGCTTGGCCGTCAGGAGGTGGTTTTTCTTGCGGGGAGGTGGTTGGCAGGGTGTATTGGTGAATAAAAAAAGTCACCGCCGGAAAAATAAAAAGGAGAGAAACTGTACACTAACTGCAAATTGGTGTGGAGAAAATGAATGGGAGAATTAACTTCTGAGGTTTCTTTGGAGTCTGAAACCCAAACCTCCGAATGCACCAACCTTTCTGTAAAAGTTGTACCTTTGTTCCCTGGATCTGGCCATATCCCTACTTGCTGTGGCTGGGTGAGCGCCTTTGGCACATCATATCTCCTCCTATCCATACTCTCCCTGGGCACGAATAAACTGGGAGGCACAGGGTGGGGGCGATGAGAGACCCTTGGAGACCTGAGCAGTCCAGGCCCAAGTGGTAATTTTCTCGGCAGTCAACAAGAGCTCCCCCACCCTCCAATCTGTGGTCTATAGGCCTCATTCATCTGGTCATTTCACAGTTATTGGTGGAAACCTGCTATGTGTGCCCTTGTCTGACCTCAGGGGCCCTGTGTGTTGCATTTGTGTGTCCCTGCTGAGGCCTCTGGAAGCAAGGCGGCTGCTGGCATCTGTGAAGAGTGTCTACTTTGTTGTGTGCCGGGCTGTTTGATATTGAAGGGACACTGAAGGGACTGTTGCCTCATCTTTCTCTCTAATTGCCTCCCTCCTCTCTGCACCCCAAGTGAGTATAAATGAGCATATCAAAGCCTGCACAGCAGCCTTGCAGTGGCCGGCGGAAGTTTTTGTCTGTCTCCTGGATAGAAACTGTGCTCATTGGACAGCCCTCTCCTGAGTGTCCAGAGTCTCCTGCAAAGGTGGTGGAAACAAGGAGGACCCTGAGAGAGAGCTGAGATTCTTGCTTTCTATGTAGCCCACCTTATGTTTTGTTGGATGCTACCAACATGCTCTAGGACAGAGTTGCCATAAAGAAAGATCAGCATGATTTTTATTTTGAGTAGAAGAGGAGGAACAGAGACACAGAGGGAAGGGTGGAGGAGCCGCTGTCTCTGGATGTGTCTTCAAGACATTCCATGGGGCCAGAAAACAAAAGGTTTTTTTGGTTTTGTTTTTAGTGACTCTTGTTTTTCTGAGGAGGGAAGCCTGCCCGGAACAGCCGGCCCTGTCCTGTGTTCCTCCCATTCTCTCTGCACTACCCCTCACCCCCACCCCCATGTGCCCTGGAGACAAGAGGGAACTGAGACCCCAGGGCTGCTGACTCTGAGATCTCTGATTCCGCAAAATTTCAAGCCTAGGTCACTCTGTGTCCTTGTCACCCCATCCCCAAATACATTCAAATGCCTGGTCCTTTACACAACCTGTGATCAGAATGGCAATGCATCAATGAAAGATCCAAGGCACTTTCTAGAACCAGAACTTCATCTGGAGTTGGAGTTAGGACACCTTCAATTGATCCCAAAAGTGCCCCCCAATAAAAGTGAATTGAGCTTGGAAATAGCTCCTTGAGTTACTGAATGAGATTTTAATGGTGTGAGGGGTGGGTTGGAGGACAGGGTGCTGGGCAGGTGTGCCAGGGGGTATCAAAGCAAGGGCTTATGGCAGAGATTTGTATGAGGAGGTTAGGAAGGGAGGAAATGGCATATTTGGCAACCAACTCTTCTGGATCATCAGTGTGGCCTTGGGTGAGTCACTTCCCCCCTTTTGAACCTGCTTTCTCAGCATGTGTAATGAGGGTGCTGGCCTAGGAGATC